AGGATGTGCCCCACAGCTCAACGAGCCCCCAAGGCTTCCCTGGAACCTTCGACGAGTGCATACAGCTCGCTCTCGGCAGAGGAGAAGGCAACAGACTGCTGGAGGCGCGCCCATGTCTTGACACACGCCTTGCCAAGCATCACTGTTCGAACATGAAACTCATCATTGAAGGAAACACCTGGCGCAAGCATCCACTGCTCATCATCATCTGTGCCATCAAGGCGGAACTCCTCGAGGGAGTTGCGCAGGGTCAACATGCGGATCTCATTGGGCTCATCTGCAAAGTCGAGGTCTGAAATGTCGAACAAAGCTTGCACTCGACTGACAATGCGGGACGCTTGGCTTGCGGCACCGGAGGCAACGCTGTAATTGGATCCATAGGTCGTCGCCTGAGACGGGGCATACAATGGAGGCGCGAAGTGATGCTGCTGAGGGGCTTGCTGAGTAGGCTGCAAAGGCACCTGCTGGGGCTGATGCTGATGCGGCTGGACGGCGCTGTCCGAAACACTCTGCACCCCCTCCGTGGCGCCCAACAATCTCGCGAAAAGTGGCCAGCTTTGCCACAGTTGTGGCATTGCATGCCCTTGGCTGAGTTCTTTCCGGATCCCTTGCCCTTGCCGGGATGGCCAGGATTGCCTTTGTGGCTAGGCTTGCCCTTTGGTCCTTGGCCGGGGCCTTTGGCACCTTTGTTGGTTGCATCCTTGCCTTTACAATACTTGCCTTTGGGGCCCTTAGCACCTTTGCCGCCTGGATCTTTGCCTTTAGGCTTGCCCTTATGAGCCAACCTATCAACCTCCATGGGCTGCGGCTTGTCCGAGCTCGAGGACACAATGCCATAAGAGGAGGCGATAGACGCGGACCAACTCGTCTGGCTCGCATCCCACCTTTCGATAAGAGACCTCAAGTCAGAGTACTGCGACGAGTCACTGATAAGCACGGTCGCCTGAGTCTTGAGTTGCCCCGAAAGACATCTCAAAACGGCTGCAAGCTGCTGATCGTTGTTAAAGGTGGTACCGCTCAACTGTTCATACTCCATGACTGCGGCCTCGAACTTGGCAAGCTGGGGCATGAGGCTCAGCTTCGAGTCGAAAGGCGGCCAGCTGTGCAGGGCCTGAACCAAAGCCAAAATGCGACCTCGGCTGGAGGGGGTCAACTCCTGGATGAGTCGGCGATACCCCTCGAAGCCATTCTGCAGAGGGATTGACCGCAGCATGCGCTTGTTCTTCTCATTCAAAAGGCTTGCAAGAATGGTATAAAGCAACCGACTCCTGTCGGCGTCCTCCTTTCCCAGGGAGGCCATGTCCACGGAATCACCTATTCGGCTGCGAAGTTCCTTGATGTTTGCAGTAAAACCCGACCCTCGTCAATGCAAGCTAACCATTGCTCTAGCTCCCAGGACCAGTTCCCCCACTGAGCGAGCTCGGCGTCGCGCGTGGTCGGAGTGAAAGGTTCGGGACCTTTCACCACTTTGACAATGTCCTTTGCACGGATGGGCTCCTTGCTGGCTGCACGGGCAGCTGCGGCAGTCTGCTGGTCACGCATGACCCCTGCCATCATCTCAAGAACTTGCATGAGCCGGCCTTCACTCGAGCTGGCGGCTCCGGCACAGGCGCTTCCGGATCACTGTCAAGATCGTCACTCATTGTTCAGACAGAAAAGCTAACGCTCAATCCAAATCAATGACACCACTCGGGGGGCGAAGGCTGCAAGGGAACTGGGGCCGCGCACCAGTCAGCTCAATCGGCACTGTAAGGCTTGGGCGGAGGCCTGCGAAGCGGTGGGTCGCCTCAAACAGTTCACAATCCTTCTCAAACCTTGGGTGCTCCTCGATCGGACGCAAGCAGGAGTGCACGACCTCCTCGCTCACAGCACAGCTGTGTACGTCTTCCACGACAAAGGAGCGGAAAACGTCTTTCAAGTGATGATCTTTGAGGCGGGCAAAAGTGTACAGGTCTTGCAATGAATGAATACTCTGCACTCGCAGCTCAACTGCACTCTGGGCTGTACTCAAAATCCTCTGCCAGCCTTCGTTCGACCGCCCTTCTGGCCGCTCTCGCTGCAAGAGCTGCTCAAGATGCAACTCGCAAATCCTCTCTCGCACTGCCTCTAGAGAGGCCTCGGTAGCGGCCGTGGCTGCTACGGCGGCGCGGGAGGCTAGAGGAAGTTTCTCCGAAGCTGAAGGTCCGAAACGTGTTTCGGAACTCTTGGCTTTCCAAGAGCTCCGCTACCATGAAAAACAAAACGCCTCTTTCCACTCACACTTGAGAGCCCGGTAAGTCGCAGCATTCCACATGTTCTCATGCCATGCGAAACACGGAAAACAAAGCTTCAGGAAAATTAAGTCTGTACGCGTACGTATGCACACATATCACATGTGTGCTGTCTGAGCAAAAGTGGGCGCATGGGTGGAACGTCTAGTTACATCAGTTCCACAGATCGTTCACTTCCCCAATTAAGAAGCATCCACGTAGGCACGCAGAATCATGTGAGACTGGCGCTGCCGAGGAAAAACCTGAAAGTAGCGAACCACAGTTTTGAGGTAACGCAACACCGCTCGCATTGCACGCTCGTGCACCTCAAGAGGAGAGCTCTGGCCCCGGGCCAAAACGGAGATATAGTAAACTAGATCACCCCTAGTGGCACTCAACCAAGACAGCTTCCCCAATGTGCGACGATAGCGCGCGGCGGCCTCTGGGGTCAACGGAACCCTCAGAGAAGCCTCGTCCAGAGACTTGTCCAACAAATCCCGAAGACAAGGAGGAGTGGGCAACCCCTTTGCGTTTTCTAACTTGTACTCCTCAAGAACATCTTGCATGTACCCCGGGTCCATGCCAAA